TGTTGTGCACAGAGAACAAAAAGTTCTTGTCCATACACCTCACACTCTCATTACACAGCACACCCAGTTCTACCACACGTACATTTTTGTTGATTTCATTATGAGGAGGTGAAGCAAGGGCTTGGCAACATCTTCATCTTGGCAGCTCATCCACAAATCCAGAGCTTGAGCGCTGTCCCAGAATCAGCCAGCGAGGCGGCTGTCTGTTTGTATTAAAGCACCACGGAGGCCTGAGACTGAACCTGGCTCTGCCGTCAGCTCTGTTCAAGCTGAGCAGTAAAAACAGGCGCAGGATGGAGAGACAGGGCTCTTGGGAAAATTAATGACAGTGGCCCAAATCCTTGAATGTGGACCACTGCACAAGCCCAGAGCAGTGTCCTCATCTGACTCTGTGATTTCTTCCAATAACGACCAGGATCACTACGTTTTTGTCCATGTAGAAATTACATAATAAATACATGTTTGTGTGTTTGTTGCCATGGAGATCCATTTATTGACCTCTCTTACAAATTCCACAAATGATATGAGCATCATGTTTCATTAGAAATGAATAACTTTCTGTTCTTTATTATCAAGCTTATGTCATTGGTGACTAGTGGATGAACTGCTGGAGGTGATTCAGGGCTGACCCCTTTGTTCACTGTGCACACAAAGACGAGGTGCAGAAGACACAGGAACGGATGTTAATAACATTTCAAAAGCACACTGTGGACCAAGAGAGGCAGTACTAACTATAAATACATAAATGAGAAAGTTATTTGAAAAGTATTCTTTTAAATGTATGATAGGTATTAATAATAAGGCTCATTCAGAAAGCTGCCTGAGTGTTTTTTGCGAAATTCAACATTTCCTCCATGAAAACAATTCAAGTTTATTTATGTGAAATGGTGGAATGAAATTTTGGTCTCTGGGGAATCGTGTGCACATAAAAACAGTTAAGAGACAATAGAAATACTCTGTTAAATACGCATTACTGAGTTAAAAATATTAAAAATATTAAAAATAGGTAGCACACAAATTCAATGACTTTATTTATTCATTGGAAACTTCATTTATATCAGTACATATCATAGACATATACACACAGTGGTAAGTGCAGCTTGTCAAAGTAAAAGTAATAAATAAACAATAAAGAGTGTTAAAATGAATAGTTTTATATAAATGATGTATGTAAATGACCTCTACCTCCTCTCACATCATAACTTCCAGCTCCTCCTTCACTTTGGATCGTTAAAAACAACAACTAGGTTTAAGTCGAGTTTTTCCTTTACTCACAGGTTTTGCATGTGAGCAGAAAAAACAACTTCTCACTGTAAACAGGATAATCCCTCATGTTTAAAGTCTTACCTCAAACACAAGTCTGCGGTCACATGCACGCCAGGCGAACCCCCCCCCCCCACCGCCTGTGTCATCCGTGTGCCATATACATGTTGGCACACATATACATGTTGACGACTGGCTTGTGCACGTCAGAAATGAAAGTGGAAAGCAATTAGCAATGTCACAGCAGAGATGAGCTGTGGAACGTAAACAGAAGATTGAAACGTTTCCCATCATGTTTGTGAAGAAGTAAAAAAATGAATGTAAAAGCTCAGAGCTGGCATTCTTAGAGGGAAGAGGAGGTGTGGTGGTGGTTGAGGCTATTGTCATTCAGAAAAGAAAAATTCACCAGTGCCAGCCCCCTAGTGCTGTTGACATTCAGAAGTATGCAAATGCTCCAACATGTCAGAGGGTCTCACATTTCAATAAGAAACACTAACCCTCTTCCTTTGTGCGGGCTTGTGCCGGCAGGTCAATACAATTTCCATTGGTCACTGGAAATGTAAATGTTCTTGTTGATAAAAACAAATAAGAAGGAGAGAGCGATGAAATGACGTGTGAATGGACCTGCTCTTCACAGTTTGGTTTCTGTGCATCTGCAGTAAAAACAGCAAGGTTTTACTTTAGATAATTATTTATTCGCATATGAATAAAAACAAGGAAATGCAAGCAATTAAAACATTGAAGGTGCTTTTGGAATTTGAAACATTTAATAAAGTTTTTATTGAGTTGCATTCCCACAGCTTTGAAGTAAACATGAGGTGATAACAATCTCAGCACAGAAGCCAGTGTAAAGTAATTTGCTCCTAATAAACACCTTTACAAACAATGATAAAAGGCAATGAGAATGATAAGCATCTATCATGATACTGATAAACACATGGGCTGAAATCCTCTAAATTGGCCCAGTTTCTCTCTGATATCCCAAATGACCTTTCTTTGTGGGAAAGGGCCCGGGGGCGAGCGCTGGCCGTGTGTGCCTCCTCTCAGCTGCAGTGTAAAAGGTGCGGCCACCTCGGAAAATCAGCCCTCACCTCCGTGTCAACAAGGACATCCTTCTGAGAACAGATTTCACCTGCCCCTCGACCCCTCCCTCCCTCTGCCAGCCCCCAAATTACCTCGACATTCTTCTGTTTGCAGTGAAAACCCCCGAACCCTCCCTGACAATTGTCCACTCCCCAGCTATAGAGGATTAACCCCCCGTTTTTACCCTCCGTAACCATCTATTGTCACCTCCGTGTGAATGACACTCTGATCCCCAGTCAGGCCTTGTTCTGCTCTGTTTTAGCTCCACTTGTCAAAGGCATTCTAATTTGCCTGCAGTCCTGCCTCAGGGCACATCCACACAAAAGGCCCAACTGTAATCAGACAGTGACGTTTATTAGGCTACATCCACACTACTACATTTTCATTTGAAAACAGTGTTTTAAGATCAAAACCATCTCTGTTATGGCTCTGTATCAGTTTTGATCCCCGTCCACACTAACATGCCTGAAAATGCACATGACGTGACGACTCAGTGAAGGTTAAGTCATGACAGGAAAGATCCAATCAGCAAGTGGTTGAGTGTCGATGTCATAATTTCCAAAAAACATCTCAGTTTCTGCCCGTCCAGACCAAAAAAATGCATTTCCAGGATTTTAGGGCTAAAATTCTGGAGTGGTGCAGACAGCAGGTGTTTCTGTAGCAGAGTTAATGTGTTTTCAAATGAAAATGTAGCTGTGATATAAAACACGTTGCAGGCACAGATTTAAAAAGCCAGGAGCTTCAGCTTCACTCACAAAAATAAACTCAACCACGGAGAAAACATTCAATACAACATCAAATATGTGCTGTGATTATGGTATCATGTGCAGTATTTGCTCAGTATTTGCAAGACAGCAGGCTGCACCATGGTAACACTGCTGAGGGTGGCGTTTACCACGTTGGCTGTGATGTGGTTAGAGGGGCAGCCGTGTGTGTGTATACACCTATAGCAACCGAGTCTGCTCATGAGTCTTGGCCACTAATTTCATATTTCAGCGCAGCCACCTGTCATCAGCGCTCTTATCAAAAATACATACCAGAGCATAATCACAGAAGCAGCGGCTGCCAACATACCTCAGAGCACATGAGCGCAAATGAAAGATGGGGGAGAGGGAGGCGTGCGGGGGGACGAGACCGTGGAGGAGGTGAAAGAAAGTGGGACAAAGAGATGGTGCAGGTGAAAACACAGTCACTGAAATGATTCACCATGTGAAAGGTAAATTAATGTTTTCTTATGCTGCAGCCGTTCATGGAGAACTGCTGTACTGGATGTTCAGGGCTGGTAGATCTCATATCATCCACACCATGAATGAGCTCCTGTCAGGTATGTGTGTGTGTGTGTGTGTGTGTGTGTGTGTGTGCATTTGTAAAACAGCACCCCCTGTGTGGAGGATGCACATGTATGGGGGGCATGTCTAAACAGGTCACCAGCTTCAACACAACACCAGAATGGGATCAGCCACATCCCAGTCCACACATTAACATCATAATAACATCATAATAATAGGTTTTATTGCCTCCACCTAAGAGGGTACGGTTTAACACCTGGCTGTTATTTTGTAAACAAGATTGTAGAAAAACAACTGAGCAGATCACCACGTCACTTGGTGGAAGGATGTGCTGCCTGGTCAGGGACAAACCAGTTCAGTTGTTGTGTGGATCTGGATCAGGGGTAGATCCAGGATAGTTTTCAGCTTGAGCCAAGGAGTGATGAAAGTGTGTGACATGTCTGAAAGCTTACACAATGCGTCACAAAATATTAAGAATGATTTAAAGTTGTATTAACTTTGTCACTTGATATTTTGAATGAAATTGTGATTTATGAATATGGGCTGTACAGATTTGATTGATCTGTACACACTGGGGCCCAACCTTTTACTCCAGGCAACATCTGAGGTCTTTACATTTTTTTCTCAGTTCACCGTGAATATCAATTTTATCCTCTTAATTAAAACTGCCAGTTTGAGACCCTCTTTTCATTTGAATATATTCAATATTGACTTTTTACAATAACTGACAGCCCAATGGGCCGACTGAAACTTAGGCTCAGAAACATCTGGAGTTTGTAGCTTGCAACTCTATGATTTCTTTACTCATCATACGGTCAGCAATAAATGATGAACAAACCATAAAGAATAAATGAAGGAAAGACAAATAAAGGAGAAAATAAGTTTATGTCAACATGACTCAACAGTCATTTGAGTCTGAGACAAAATGAAATATGGATCTTATTCATTCTGTGTGGACTCAAAGTGTACTGCTGAGCAGGAGGCAGAGGTGTCCCTCCGGATTTGTTTGAATAGATGAATGTTGTGGGTCTCTGCATATCTTTGTATGATATTATTGTATATCAGTTCTAGTGCTGATTGTAAAGCATCAGATGCCTCTCTCCTCCTCCTGCTCCTCCTGCTCCTCCTCCTGCTCCTCCTCCTCCTCCTTCTCCCCTGTAGATGAGCGTGTGATGGGCGGGGCCCTCACCCTGAGGTCTCACCTGCTGCAGGATCGTCTCTGAGCTCGTGTTTAACACATAGACATCTGTCCACGTGTGGGCGGGAGCGCACGGGGAGGAGGCACGCGCGGGGGGGAGGGATTGGGAGGGGGGATTGCTCCTCCGCAGCCAATCAGATGAGAGCACCGATCCAGCCTTATAAAGCTCGCATGCGGCTGAGAGCAGCAGAATCCAGCGTCTGTGACCTGCGTCTGTACCCAGCCCGTCAGTGTGTGCGCGCAGCTGGACTCACTGTGGATTACTGAAGCTCTCTCTGAAGATCTGCAGACTCGTGTTTCGTTTCCTCTTTGATTTCTTTCTCTTTTGGACGGAAAACAAAAATGCGTCTGATCCAGAACATGACGACCATCGCGGAGTGTGCGGCTCCTGAATACCCGGCGCACAACAGGGTGATGAAGATAGCTGTGGTAGGAGGCAGCGGGGTGGGCAAAACAGGTGAGACGCGAATATATGACAAACATCTCTATTACGCTGAAATTCTAAAGTGACGCATTGATCCTCATCATTTGTTCTAATGTGGTGGCTTTGCTCTGTTTCAGCGCTTGTTGTGAGATTCCTCACCAGACGCTTCATTGGAGACTACGAGAGAAACGCTGGTGAGTGACTGAGAGACGTGAAACCTGATGTTACACCGACTCTTTAATATCCTGAGACCGAAGGTCTAATGTTTCCTTGTGTGTGCAGGTAATCTGTACTCCAGAGAAGTCCAGGTGGACGGAGAGCAGGTGACCATCCAGGTTCAGGACACTCCTGGTGCAGAGGTGAGATCTTTGCTCTTCTTCTTCCTCTTCTTCTTCCTCTTCTTCTTCCTCTCAGACAGATGTTACACAGTTTGTTTTTTTATGACCTGACTGTCAGGTATCAGAAGAGTGAGAGTTTCACACGAGACAATCTGTGAATAATCCAACACAAAGATCATAATCTAAAATCACTGTCTGACCGTTGAGAGCATCCAAGCCTCTTCTGACCAGGCGTCAGTCCAACACTGAAGATGTGTGTGTGTGTTATTATTTCCTTCTGAGGCCAGAGTGAATGATACTGATCCACACACAGCCCTCACCCACACCTCTCTGTTCAGCAGCAGTAACTCTAACCATCCTGTCTGCCTCACTTAACATTCCACTCGTTTCAGAAAATCACTTCCACAAAGTCAGGGAACGTTTGGTCTTAGTTCTGAAAATGTAAGATCTAAATCTGAGTGTGTGCTTGGTTGTGTATTAATCTCTCTCTCTCTCTTTGTTTCCAGATGACAGATAATGGAGTCAGTCTACCTGACCATGTGAGCTGCTCCGTCCAGTGGGCCGATGCTGTGGTGCTGGTGTACTCTGTGACAGACCGCCGCAGCTTCGACCAAATCCAACAGTTGCACCAGCTGGTGACTCGCACCGGCGGCGCCAACGTGCCCCCCGTGATCCTGCTGGCCAATAAGGCGGACCTGGTGCACCTGAGGCGTGTAGACTCCCAGCAAGGCCCCCTGCTGGCTGGAACTCTAGGCTGCTCTTTCTACGAAGTGTCTGCTAGTGAGGACTACAGCCAGGTGCACGGCGCCTTCCACAGGCTGTGCGGCCAGCTAGCCAAGCAGCCGCCGCCCGCCTCCAGCTCCTCAAACAACTCTGTCGGTGCCACCACGGAGAAGAGGCGCTCGCCCCTTATCCCCAGGCCAAAATCTCCCAACATGCAAGACCTGAAGAGGCGATTCAAGCAAGCGTTGTCTGCAAAGGTCAGGACCGTCACCTCGGTGTGAGGACTAGTTGGAAGTGGTTCAGAGCGACCACAGGAAGAAAGAAAGATCTGTGCTTCTTCACTGAAGTCCTGTTCCAGCCTGGCTGAAGAAGGCAGGAGTGAGGTGAACAGTGGTAACCTCTGTGTGGTGGGAGGCAGATGAATCTTCAGAGGTTAATGACCTCGATAAAGAGCAGGAGTCTGTCCTTATAGACTACATGTGAGAGGAGAAGCAGGGAGGAGGCTCATCGTCCTTTCAGGAGCAGAGGAGACGAGCAGCAGTGTTCAGTCACAGACTGTAGATGAAGCTCCCCTGGAAACAGCAGCTCTCAAGGACTCTGCTGCTTATTTTTAGCTGTGGTGCCCGTTCAGACTGCTGCCGCTGCACAGCTCTGCCACATGATGGTACAATGATACACCAGCTGCTCCAGCCACAGCTCGGTGCAGCTGGGTGTGTGTTCGTGTGTGTGGGGGGTTGTATCTGGGCAACCAATACAGCATGTAGCGTGTGACGTTATCACTGATGCACTTTATAAAAAAAGAAAAAGTCCAAAGGGCCTGTTTTTATTTATTTGTTACTAATTCACTGTGTGTTCACAATAAAATGATGATGAATTTGACTCTGTCTCTGGGTTTTCACTCATCACTTTGCAACAGACACTCATCTTTCTGTATGGTGCATGTAGATTTCTTCAGAAACTGCAGCACATGTAGGCAGTTTGTTAAAAACTTTCACTTTCATGTCCCCGTCCATGGCCTTGGCTTCATAAGAGTACGATACAGAGATGACGCAAATAGAAGAGATTGTGTATTGTAGTCAGGAGAGCACATTCCTCCACCAAGGCCCAACAGTATTGAATTCTACCCATCTGCACCAAATGTCACACTCACATCATATCTTGCGATGTTAAAGGAAGTGATACAAAATTCCTGGATCCACACCAATATTTGAGGGGCTCTTTCCTGACCGCATTCCAGATCCTTCCACCAAGTTCTGTAGAAATCTGCTCAGCTGTTTTTGTGTAATCTTGCTCACAAACAAACCAAAAGAAGGGGGTTGAAAAAAGACAGAAACACATCTGTGCAGCTCACGATTTTCAGATCTGTCAAAAGCCAAAAAATGTTTCTGGGGTGATGTCCTTCACCCCAGAAAATCAGTCAGAAAAAAGAAACTGAAGAAATATCCGGAGCAGCACAGGAAGATTTCATGTATGTTTACTCAGGGACGACCTTGTTTTATTAGGGACTCTACTGAGAATCACAACCTCCCAGAACACGAGGACTCTTCTCAATAATAACCTGAGTTTGTGTACATTAGAGATCGGTTTATTTACAATTCAAAATCTAATTAGTGAATCTTAAATATCCTGTTCCTGACGGGTTAGTCAGGCCAGAGCAGCCCAGTACACAGGATTCAGTGGGGAACTGTGCTCCTCCTGCTTACACAAAATTCACACAGGCACTATGAAACGACTTGTTAATTATTCGGTTAGCCACCATTAGATGTGGCGAGGTGAGAGCGCTAACAGAGAGTGTGTATTCTCACCAGCACAGCAGCCTCGCTCTCTTCACACCTTCATTGTAATGAGTTCACACACGTGGCCTGATTCTAATGCACAGCCAACAAGTCAGGCAGTGTGTATGCCACGTTTGTGTGTGTGTTGAAAAAAAGTATAAGAAGATTTATTTTTAATATTATTATTTGGTGAAAGCAGTATCTGAAATATACCACAGAGAAAGACGAAGGTCGTCACATTTATGTTGAATTTCTTTAATGTTTTCGAGAGAGATACATCTAATATCTATATCATTAATTTACAACTCTCTTTCAGAATATTTGAACCAACTCACACACAGGTTAGGAATGTTGCACTTGCTAATCAATCCCTTCATTTCCATTTTTACAGCTTTTTTTCTGTGGTGCACGAGTTCTTCTGCCCTTTAGACACCGATGTCAGGCGCCAGTCTTTGGGTTGCGAAGAGCAGCTCAGGGATATCGGTCGGCCTCAGCAATCTGGTGGACAGGACCAGCACCTGGAGCAGAGCACATAGACTCATGATGGTTATAATAAGCCACAGTCTTTACCTTGAAGTTTACAAAATTTGTGAACTTAACAGTGAGAATTTTTGCTGCACTTTATTTTTATTAGGTGTCATCTCAAAGCGTATGTTTTTGTCGGTGGTAACAGAACCACAATCTGACTTTTTGTCATTCAAACACAAGTGTAAATGTTCATTATGGATTTATTCACACATGAATCAGTTAATAATTTATAAATTATTTTCCTGAAAAAGCCTCGGATTAAAAAATCTCAAAATACATCACTGTCCACAAGATTTCACTACTTATTTAATGTCTCATAATACACAAGCATGAATGACAAGCACAGGTCATCCTATATAACATGGTCATGATTTTACAGCTTTAATTACAACCTTGATTATTGGATTATATACAAAGTATGATTAGTGAATAGCTGCTCTGATGGAAATACATAAAGGCTGTAACTGTCCACACACTGTAACAGTATGAGCTGCGCATTGAAGCAAACTAATGTATTCTCCTGTGAAGTCTGCAGGATGAAGGGTTTGACACTTTGTGTGGATCTACACATTTTTTTATGAGCTAATGCACTTTCTTTAAAGGAAACAACCCTGACAACATTTTTGTATGTATCCTATGATGTAAATAATGCTAAAAATTCAGATGGCGATTTAAAAAAACAAACATACATTTTGTTTCTATAAGTGGCAGATTTAGAAGACTGGAGGTTGTTAGCCGGCATACACAGTCTGGTATAGCCTTCTAGTTTGAGTTAGAACTACAGCTCTCTCATGCTGTATAACAGAGAAGCTCTGTTCTTCTGCAGCAGTGTTGCTTTAACTCTGGGTCAGCACCTAAATTTGGCAACGGCCCTGTTTGTAGTGGCACAGGGATTCTGTTTCTGAAGAAGTTCGTCCAAGTGCAAGAGCAAAACTTAGCAGCTTGTTTTCAGAGGAACTTCAGTGGAAGATGAATCAGAACTTCATGAGTGTCTGGTCCACAGTATGTTGTGCATGCACTGTATGTGGTAAGGTAAGAGTGTGTATCCTAGTGTGTGTGTGGGCTAGTAGCCTATTACTGTATATAGGCTGGTCTGTATTCAGTTTCCCTGATTACAGATGGGAGGTTTTGATCCTTGCGAGGCCTTTCATTGCCTCTGGCCTCTTTCTCAAAGCCTTTTATTAAGACAAAGCCACATTACCCCGCCTGATCTCCATGTTTGCCCTCCTCGCTCTCCTCTCACCCAGAGGAAACGCATACATCTGCATGTTTTCTATGCCACTGTGGACTGCATACGTAATCGACACTTAAACAGCGAGCAGGCAGACACAACATCTCATGCATGTAATCAACACGAGAATCAGATGCTCTCACCCGATTTGACAGAAGCCTGATCAGTGTATGTAGGGCAGCGTTCATGTCTGCTCATTGTTTGTCAGGTTCAATGAGACATCTGTCTGAAGGTGGACAGTTTGTAAACCTTTCTCTATTTATGTTTTGGCTAAAGACATAAATCGGTTCAATTCAACACATGAGTCTTGTTTTTCTGTATCTACATAGTATACTTGTAGACTCCACTTTCTTTTTTTAATAACATATAATAGTTAAAAAAAATAATTTTCACTTATTCCGGAATAGCATAGACACTAAAACTTACGTCATGCACAAGTGAGGTAAGCAGTGTGGTACGAGTTTTAGTCACCTGGTGGTAAAAGACAACTGAGTCTTATCTACTCACCTGCGTCCCTGGTTTGTGTGTGGTGACAATCTCTTTGATGAGCCGCAGCTCTGAGGGTGTGACGCCTCCTACCAAAAAGAGGAGGAGCACGGGGTTGTCGCTGGGATGCGGACGACTCACCTGGAGATAAGACAGGACATTGCGATGAGTTATTGTTTTTTTAGGTCCTTAGGTGTTGATGCTGTCCACCATTATAGACAAGTCAGTGACCTTGTCCAGTGAACAGTTTTATCATTTCCTCTCTTTGTTGCTTTCTGTGGTTCTCGGTGTCTTGTTGCTGAGTCACCACTCAGCAGGACACCTGCGATATTGTGATGATACTAAGGAGAGAGGACTCCATAAGGACACAGGTCACAGCTTCACAGCGGATGATGTCTTCTCATGCTGGTGTCATGATGGCTGACACGTGGACGGGGAGGTAGACACCCCCCCACCCATACAACACATGCAGACACGAACATATGTCCCACATCACCTGTTCACACACACTCAGAAATGTAAAACCATTTACTGTCACTTAAAGATGACCTAACAGCAGGGTAGAGTCTGAATGAGACTGACTGCAGGAGAAGAATGACTTTGTGTTTTATTTATCGAGCTGCAACATGTGAATGCAAACCTAGCAATTAGAGCAGCAGGGGGGCGGACCTGAACTGACAGTAGCTGTACACGTGAAGCACCAGCAGGCAGGGATGAAGCGTGTCAAGTGTATTCAACATGTGTTTGTTGATTTAAAAATAAAGTGTAAATAAATGCTTTCTGGTGTATTTGCTCGTGTTAAATTTTTTGTTTGATCAGAGAGATTTGCTGACACTAGACATCACACGGCATCGCAGACATGTGCTCGTAGAGCCACCACGTGCCTGTTGGCTGCGCCCATAGACACATTGCAGCCGCCTGAGGCTAACCATGTGCACTGCCATGGGTTACACTGGGAGGGAGGGGCTTATGGATATGTGTGGTGAGGAGGTGTGAGTGAGGAGGGGACAACATTATTCATGGAGTTATATAAATATCACCAACTGAAATACCATGTTTTAGACCAGATACTCACACTTCACTTCCCACTACTCACACATCAGTGGTTCCCATCTGAAGACATTAGACCACGGAACATACGCTGCTTCTTATTATCTTTTTATTTTATTCAATAAAAATTAAGTGCATCTTCTTAAAGCTGCATTCACCCAGTTGTTAATTTAGTTAGAATCTTCATTATAAGGTGTGAATATGGAAACAGCCACTGGTTTGAATTTTTGAGAGTTTAAGTCGAAAAAGTTTCAGTCCGATTGTTTGATGTGTCCCGTCGACTGTTTTAAAAAACTTTTCAGACCTGCAACACCGTGAGAGGCCACTGGTTCAGATTGGCAGTATTGCAGCCATTTTCCTCTGCTGTGACCCTTGTTGCAAGAAACATTGGGAGACTGACAACCTTTATCATCTCACTGATCCCTTGTCGATGAAAAGACAATGGACAGTTAAAATCTGGAGAGACATTGGACCATGTCTCAGGGTAAAACAACATGTTAGCTATGATTAGACAATAGCTAACTTTAGCATCACAATACTTCCTATATAATGTTACTGGTCTACATTTTTTAACAGATCAATGGTTATGAAGGACAGACTCTTTCAAGACCACACCTGTCAATGGACATTCAAGATAAGGGTCAAATTACAACAGAACCTGCACCAACAAGCTACTAGCTCTGTAAATCTATATGTCGTAGCACTGCTACTTATAGGAAGAACGAAGAAGACATTATTCTAGAATCTCACTAGATACTAAAATAATTCATATTAACTCGCCCACATGC